CTGCTGCGCTTCGGGAAGACCTCGCCACGGTCGCGTCCGCGCGCTGCCGACGCCTCGCCACCCCGGTGGCGAGCGCACGCGGGGGACGGAAGCCGCACAAACGATTCGACGCCTCGCCTCCCTCTTCTCTCGCTTTATCGCCCCCACAGGGAGTCAACAGCAACCACCCCAGCTCTTCTAGTCGACGCCCTCGTCCTCAAGTCGCCCACTCACGTTGACGACGTCACGTCTTTCACGTGTTGGGTCATTCACTGCAGTTCGAGAGTCTTCCTTTGAATGCCCCCAGCAGAATTCGCACACCACACGCTTTTCCTCTCCCATTTATTACACATTTCCTTGCCATGCAATACTTCGAGCGTAAATAGCGTATTATAATTTCCTCTTCAAAATAGGAATTTCTTTTAGATCTACATCACTCTCCAATGTTTACAATTCTAACTGTTTTTACTTTCTTTTGGTTCACAAATTTGTTGATTCCATTGGAAAGTATTTAATAAAAAAAACTGACTTATACCTCACAGTAATGAACAATAATTATGCGAAGAAGATACAAGAAAGGGCAGGAAGTCAAGTTCCGAAACACTGAAATTTTATACGTATGTAACGTGAGTAATAAATAAAAACACGAGCCAGCTTCGGAACAACACAGGTTCGCAAAAGTAGAATTAATCCGACCCAAAAATGTCAAATAATACATTCATGATAGTATGGAATACTCTTTGGAACCAACGGATATTCACCAACCCTTCATTACCGGGACAACTAAAAAGTTTAACAAGTTTCTTAAAATCATTGTTCTTGATTCCCATAAATTAATGAAAATTACTAGTAGGTATTCCGCAGTGGAAAGCTGATAGCAAAGCACCGAATAGAACGTTAGTAAAGAGTCATCAGAGCATCTTTCTAGCACTTTTGTTTCCTCCGTGCTCGTGCATGCGTGTATAAAAAATAAAGAATGCTGATTCTTGTCAATTACTGTAAATTAATTCTCAAAAGTTAAAAATTTCGATATGACGCAATATTACAATATACGACATAACACTAAACAAGACGAATGTTAAAGTCTCAAACGTAAAAACACCAACAAAATAGTGCTTATTGCCTGTAAGTGCGGGTAGCTATTAAGGAAGCCAATTAACCAGAACGCTTAAAACTAAACGTGAGCGCCAAGAACAGACGTTCTTAACGCCGCCATAAAAAGTTCACTCCTTCCGAACTCGCCTGAAACAAGCAACTCCCGGGGCGAAGGCTCTCCTCGGGCGCTGGAGCGTTGCGGCGCTTCTCTCGCAAGCCCCCTGCGCCATTTTCGTGTAACGCGCATTACATCGTTCGGCGAACGCGGCCGCGAGCGCAGAAACAAATTAGGAGAGGAGATAAAGGCGAGCGCAAACATCGGCGCCACGATCGCACACAAAGGCAGGCCTCGCAGCGGCGGTCGTGCTCCTAGGTGCGGCGGGAGGGCGGTTACGGGGCAAAAAAAAAAAAGAAAAAAGCAACCAACAACAACCGGCGAGGTCCCGACATCCCGCAAGCGTGAGTACACATCCACTCACACAAAGTCAGCGAGCGCCGCGAAGAGGTGGGCGGCGGGGCCGACATCCGCTCCGGCGCTCGCGAGCGGCCAGTGCTCCGGGGGCGGGGGGCGCCGAACCACGACCGGACGTCGGGGCAGAGGGGGTGGCGCGGAGCAAGCGCGACGGTAGAGGGCGCTGGCTCGGAACAGGTGGAGGCAAGAGAGTGGTCGAGTGCGTTACGGAGTGTTCACTTAAGGAGAGAACTTAAGGTTTAAGTACTTCAACAATGCATATTTTGTCCATGGAATCTGCTGACTCAACGTTGGGACTATTACAATAGCCAATAGTTGCTGAAATCTTGAACGAATAATTGCACAGACAATCATAGGTGCGGGAGAATTGGATAACTCTCTACAAATGCTGAACATCTGACTTCAAATGATTGGAAGACTAGTCGTTTGATTTTAATATTTAGCACAGAATTTTTAGTACCGTTTAGATACGTATGCAGATGAAAACTTGAAGATCAAGAATATAAGAATAAAGACAGAAAAGAAGTTAAATAAAAATGCTGTAATATCATTCGTAGCCTAACTATCGAGTTCTTGAAACAAGCGCCATGCATGCCCTCGCTCGTTGAGAGGGAGATGCCGACGGACGCGCAGAAGAGCACAGCGGAGGCGCAGCGGAGGCGCAGCGGAGGCGCAGCGGAGGCGCAGCGGAGGCGCACTCCGGACTCCTGGCGACGCATTAACCCCTGCGCCCCGCCGCGCGCTCTCTCGTCCCTTATTGTTATGGAGCTCGCGAGTGGTTTACGGCCGCCGAGAGGTCGTTTATGGGCGGCGGCGGCGGCGGCGGCGGTGGCGGGCGCGAAGGCGACCCCGGTCTGCGCTCCCAGACGGCTTTGTCTGCGGGCACTCCACGCCCCCGCGCCAACTTCCTCCGGGCAACAGGTGGCCTTAATTGACAGTCGGTGACGCCACACGCGCCTCGCGCCCACCCGCCCTTTTTACTCGCAAAGCCGATACATCAAAAGACTCAGACTCGTCGAGTGCTTTGAATTGTGGGTACCGAATCATCATTATCTTAAGTCATTATGTTCGTAATGTAGAGTCAAGATAAGTGTTTGAACAATAATTTACTCCTAGAGTAAACAAACTGTGCATCACGTTTTGAATTTTATTAACTTCGCTCCTCCTCACAATCTCGTGTTGTAATTCTCTGAAGCATCGGTTCCCGTCACGTTACAGGAAAACGCTTGGTGGCTCGACTCCCGTGACGAGAACAAGACCAATGTCTTCGCCAATGCGAAATAAATTTCCTTCTTACATACAATACCTATCCCTCTTTTTAAAAACTAGCATTAGGTCATACCTATAAATTCAAAACATTTCTACAACTACACTACACTGATACCATTCTGGCTTCCTCTACTGAACTACTTGTTTTTAAATCTACTTATCAGACAATTACATACTACATTTCCCGTGCTCGGGATAACTGAAAACTTTCAATCAGTTTAATTCCAATTTCCTTACAGAATTATACTGAGAAATTATGGCGCGCTTCCTTTTCAGACTTCAGCATAGTATTAATATGGAGGGTGAGGGAAATTTTCTAAAATAGTGATGTAAATAGAAAAGCTACCTTCACTTTTCTGTAAACAGAAAATCAACCGCCTCTTTTGTGTCTCGCAGGGCAACGCATCACCACCATCCAGCTGGACGGCACGCAGTACTTCGTGAGCCGCATGAACCCCTACTCCCCCGAACTCAACTACTTCCTAGCCTACCAGTACTGCCGCTCGTTGGGCCTGCAGCTCGCGTCGTTCGAGTCCCGCGAGAAGGCAGACTCGCTCATGCAGTACCTTCGCAACGCAGGTGAGAGCTCCAAGAATTCGACAATTCTATAAGTATTGCTCCACGATACATAAATCTTTAAACATTTATAATATTAATATTTGTTTCACTTTAATACTTACCATAATTTAGGCAATGGAACACTATTATAAGCTTTCTCTAAATCTACAAACACAAAAAGTGTTTGTTTCCCAACAGCATTATATTTTTCTTAAATTGTTTCACTACATATACATTGTCAACTGTACATCCGCCTGCTCGAAATCCCATTTGAAATTCACTTTCAGTTTTCTTAAAACCATTTTAGAAAAACTATTGCAGTATCTTACTATACAGTTGACAGAATGTACATAAAACTGAAATTCCTTGTATATTACACAATTATCATTAATTACATCTTCTCCAAAATATTCAACTATGTCATTACTACAGTTTTTTCTTTACTGTTCTTCTATTTAAATTTCCTACCACTTGTATCATCCTATTGCTTTCAACTTTGTATCTAAAGTAATCTGTAATGTTTCATAAAATGTATCCTTCAATATTATTGTCTCATCTTCATTAACACCATAAACTCCCACAATTGCAAGCTTTATACAAGAAATATCTACATTTAAAGTGATACGTAACTTCTTACTTCCCAATAAGTTAAGTATTTTTTACATTTATTTTTTATTGTAATAGTTTGTTTCGCTTTCCAAATTCCACTATAAAAATGTAAATATGAACCGTGTATGTCCACGCCACTACCTTTCTTCTTTGCTTCCTACACAACAATTATATCGTGCTTAAATGTATTACATTCATATAAAATAGATGGTAATTCATTATTTATATTTCCCGCAGCCCAAATTCTACAATTTTCAAAGTCTGTACGCTCGATTAATTGAAAGAAGGGAACTGACACTTCCTCCAAACCTTGAATGTTCGTCGCGAGGAAATGAGTAGATTCTAGTCGAAAAGCCCAACGGGTGCGCGTGCGTGTGTGTCCAGGGTACAACAAGTTCGACTACTGGACGTCGGGCAACCGGCTGGGCACCGACATGCTGCTGTGGATGAGTACGGGCTCCCCGTTCAACACCACCTTCGACTACATGCGACGGCTGCCGACGGACGCGGTGGAGGACGAGGCGGAGGGCGGCGCCCCGCTCCCGGGCAACGCCGTCCCCGCCCCTCTGCCCGCCTCCGCCCCCGCCGCCGGCATCCCCGCCACGCGCGCCGGCCTGGGCCGCGCGCGCAGCCGCCGCCCCGGCCGCCAGAGGTCAGTGCGCGCGCCCTCCCTCCCTGCCGCTCCTTGGCTTTGGCGTCAACTCACGGAGACGTACGATTCCACGGGGATAGAAAACAACGACAGGCCAAACCGTCGACACGAACACTCGCGGAGAAGCAGTACGTCACTAGGCAATAAAACTTCGGGCACTAAATAATTTCACCAAAAATATTTTAAAACATCGGATCCCCAAATTTAGAAGAGCGCTTTCAAGATCATTAAGTGGCTCATCTACGAACACTATGTTTATTCTACACAGTTAACGAGCTATCATTTTATCACTTTGTGTGTTTTATTTATACGATTTTTGTTTCTACTGTAAAATTTACGTTACGAAGTTTTCATTATCTAGCGACGGGTAATTATTGCAGTCGCTAACACGCTAGTCTGAATAATTATGAATACTTTACTGGGCGTACTTTGCGCTTACGATGAAAACTGATCATTAATGGGTTGAACTCTTACTGCCCAATTAATAGACAATCCGTTCTTACTTCGGAACTAAATATTTGTTTCTCACACTAAGTCATAGTTTAGTCACAGAATTACGAAACATGATTATTTTATTGAAATAAAATGTATTTAATTATGTCTCATTGAGAAAAAAATGTTTGTCCCGATGAAAAATGTAAATGGTGTAAACCCTGCTCTACGTAACTTTCGCGCCCAACTCCTAGTTTGTCGCTATTAGCTTCTTCTGCTAACTTTCAATTTCCTGTTCTTGATTCTTACGACTGTTTTAAATATTAGTGTGAACTTAATCATTCACAATATTTCTTACAAACGTCCTCTTTTACATGACTATTAAATAAGCGAAAGATCGGAAGTAACTGCGTTTCGCGGTGAGAGTAAATCGTGTAAAGGATTCTTTTGGTTCATTTGAAGAGTTTACTTCTTCTTTGTTGCGCAAAACCAACTTAATAATTCACTTATTTTGAATGTCACACTAATATTGATTGTATTCATCGATACACGACCAAGATTCATTGCACCGCACACGTTAATGCAATGCAAGTAGTATCCAAAGTGCCAAATATGACGACGTCGACATCTATGATTCTAGTGCTTCTGTAAATTCGATCTTATTAATCAAAATGAAATAATGCATTTCGAGAAAAAAAAATCTCTCCGAGAAACGAGAAACCCACCTCACAAAATGTGTCATTCCACTTGCACCTAAAAATAAAATAAAATCTTTCACAGAAATGCCATATCATCGTTACATGATTTAATGTTGAGGACATTTAGTTTGATGCCCCCTGCTCATCAAAGCAAAAATTACCATCCTTGCAAATTACCCGATTCAAAAGCACCCTCCGCGATAGACACCACTCTGCCTGACAGCTCTCAGGCGCGAACTCTAATTGGCGTGACGTGCGTTGCAGCACGGAGGAGGTGGCGGTGGGCTGCATAGCCCTCAAGTCTCCATCTCTGGACTGGGACACTGACGATTGCCTGCAGCTGAAGGACTTCATCTGCGAGCAGACGCGCTGCTACTACTACAACTACGGCTCCATCCCTGTCTCCACGTCCCAGGGGTAAGCAGGTGAGGCCAGCCCCGGAACGCTTATCCACGTCAGAACCGAGCGCGCCACCGCAGGGGTCCCATCCCACAGCCTCTTGCACATACTCCTCGAGCAAGTGGGAGTTGTACATAAGATCCTCAGCACTAACATTTCTGGCACGTACACAAAGGTCTTTGGTTCGCTTTCTAAATGATGCCTGGGAAAGGGTGAAATAATGCACCAAAAAATCTAATCATTAATAAAAATGCAATTTAAACTCATTTCCATTGCAGAAATTGCAGAAAATTAATAGTGTACTTAATTTTATTCAATCACTTGGTTATGGAGAAAAAATAACGAATAATTAAACACGCATTTGCGACATAAATTTCTTAAAAATTACTAATGTATAAGCGCAGTGCTTACACCCCAAGAGGTTTTTGACCTGGATAAGGTGTTCCGAGCCCCGTCCTAAGCTTGGTGAAGGTACAACCCGCGACAATACAAACGACTATGTTTCTTGGACGCCATTGCCCACAACGGCTCACTGCGAAGGGCGCTTTCACACCGCAGGGACAAGCGAACCCGGCCGACGTACGCTCCCCCGCACACCTCCACCTCCACGCAACCGCCCCTGTACGTGGGGGCCTCCGCCGCCGACAGCGACAGCAACGCCACCGCCTCGCAGCCGCAGCCCGAGGAGACCGTCAACCGGCGCATCACCATGCGGCCGCCCGCGCCCTCCGCCCCCGGCCAGCCCGACCCCGCCCCCTCCGCCACCGACTCCCCGACCGCCGCCGAGGGGGAGGAGCCCCAGGACGACAGCATCAACTTCGCGTCGCGCAGCTTCCCCGAGAAGGACGCGGTGGCCAACGTGGTGTACGTGACGGCGGTGGGCGCCGACGCCCTCAACGCGTCGGGCCAGTACGTGGCGGCGGAGAGCGCGGGGGCGGCGACGACGGGGGCGACGGCGACGGCCGCCGAGGGCGCCGTGGCCCCCACCACCGCCGCCGTCGACGAGGCGCCCCCCGCGGCCGAGGAGGCGACGCCAGCGCTACTGGCGGCGGCGGCGGCGCCCGCGCCCGAGCGGCCCGTCACCTTCAGCCGCGGCCGCGTCGACCCCATCAACTTCGACACCGCCTACCCCGACTACAAGTAGACGAAGCCTCACACCGTCCAACAGGATTTAGCGAAGCACATCAGGGGCGTTCTTGTAGTAACATTCCCGGCTATCTCCTTTTTAGACATTCTTTACAGCTTCACAGTTTCTCTACAGCTTTAATTCAACCCAACTAACTTGTAAAACTGTCTTTTGCTCAACTGAAAAAAACGTTGAGGTTCAGTGCAATAGTCTCAGGTCGCAAATTACAATAGATCCTAAATGCATTGCACGTTCTAGAGAAACGATACAATCGATTTTTAAATCACTGAAGTGTATACTTTCTCTTGGAAAGTCCGGCTTCCATGAAAATATTTCATTTAGTTTAAACCAGTGAAACAACAGTGAAAAACAACTTCAGAAGGGCATTCTAGTGCGTATTATAGAAGGGGACAACCAGTGAATCTATAGTGCTTGCTGTATTTCCAGATGTAGGTTGAAACATCACCTTTCATCTGAACCTTCACAATGAGCATCACTGATTCACAGCTTATGTTTTTAAAACCTTAGGCATAGGTGCCAGCTAACCACATGCTTGGCAATACTTTTATACAATTGTCAAAGACTTTTTTATAAAAAAGCATCTGAAATAATACAATCTTAAAATCAATACATTAGTTTCAATATATAATTATTAGAACCTCCTTATCCTCCCCGTGTACAAGTTCTGTTTATGTTTTACCCAAAGCCTGCCCATTACACGAACTATTCCACTTGTAAAATTAAAACCAATGGTGTTTAACTATCCATACCAAATGCTCCCACCAGGGCAGAGTTTCTCAAAAAGTTTGTTGCTTTTTCTATACGATTTTTCTTAGTGCTTCTCCCTTGTGACCGATGATAAACTATGACTCCTCTATCTTATGTGGCGATCGATATACTACATCGATCGCTAAGTCACATGTGATTTTAAAATAGCTTTCAGTTATACATTATATTTGCCGCATTTTGGAACTCTATGGGACATAATTTCACTCGTGGAATATATGTTTTAAATATCACTCGTGCTCTGGAAATTCTCAGATAAATCCCCTCCAGTCAGGAATTTATCAACTATTGCCAAAGCTCTCATGGTATTACCTATGATAATGCTTTTTACTGTGGGTAGTCAGCACCACAAGTAAGCAACAAGCTCAATTTGGAGAAAAAAAGAAAAGAAAAAAAGGAAGAAAGAAAAAAGCACTTTCTACCCATAATTCTTTTCATTTCCTATTTCTGAACACTAAGAGCGGCAAGAATTAAGGTAAGTAAAATACAAAAGTAATCATAAATGACTGTTTCAGTAGGAAAACAAATTTCTTCTTCATTCATACATAATTTTTTTTTAAAAATTTTAAAACAATAAAAATAAAAAAAAATAAAAACTTTGATCATCAGAAATACAATTAAAAATCATTACTCACAAGAGAACTAAAAAATTTTAAATTTCCATTATCTGCATAATTGTTACAAGATAAATGATTTAGAAAATTTCAAACTTACAAGGGTTTAAATGAAACAACTATGTCAAAGAAGTGCTTAAGTGCTTAATGCACAAAGCTCCTCAAGAAATTGATAAATATATAATGTAATTAATAACAAGAACAATAATAATAATAACTATTATTATAATCAAAAATAAACTGCTCTATTAAATATCTTCATATACAAATATAACTACTATTTTAATGAATTTAAAAGATGAACTTACCATCCATTGATTACACCTTCCATGTTCAACATAGGAACAATTTTGAAGACAAACTTGTTTCGAACCATGATAGCAGCAGGTGCATTGCTCAGCAAATACTGGATAGTTCCATGCATGACCCAAGATGCATTGCTTTCTCCAGGATGCACACGGGCGGTTAAGAATACAACTTCACGATCCTAGAACGTTGAAGACAAAATATAAATAACAATAACATATTTCAAGGATGTTATTCACTGAGAGTTAAAAGTAGTCTCCAATTTACTCATGTAATCGCATCCCAAGTTCAGTATTACCATTTAACTTGTTTAATATGTCACATAATAATGTATAACAATTATTTAAGAAAACTTAATTATATTCAACAAGTTGAAGTATTAGACATAAGTTGCTACAATAGGAATGATCATATGAATTCAAGTTCATAAAGTGAGAAAATATAAATTGAAAGTATTAAAAAGAAATAATGTATAATTATTATTTATTTAATTTTCTGAATATTTCATTTAATCAGTAGACAAATTTTAATGAATAAATAATCAGTAGTTGATATTCGTGAAATATGTGCTGGAAATGTCGTAAGAAGAAATTAGGGAAGAATGGCAATCAATTCTTTTACTCACCTTTATTCGATTGGATTCCATATCAGGAGATGTGATGGTCAAGAGTGGAGTTTCATTGTTATTAAGAGAGTAGCAAAGGCAGTCAGTTCGAAAGTAAATTAAACTTGGATCAACGGACAATGACCACTTCCAAATTTGAGTCTGCATGAACACAACATAACAGATTGGTTAATTATCTTTTTATTTTCATCATATGTCATGCATCAATGTGGTTTTCAAGCTAATTCATCTCATAAAAATGAAAGCCTATGGACAGAAATGTGAAAATTATGATAATAAGTATTTATGGCGTGGGTAGTGAAAAGTTACAGAAATTAAATTAATTACTATTTTTACAATGCAAAGAAAGCAATTGGACCAGAGTAGTTAACTATGAATTTCAAACCTACATTGCAAGACCAAATAATAAAGCAATATAATAATTCTTACAAGTAGTGATAATGGAAGCTGTTTAACACATTCTTCTACAAAAGTGTAAGAGGAAAAGCTAATGCAAAAAAATTGCTACTTACCATTAGTAGAGAATAAGGATAAGGGAAATGATATGCTATGTAGCATACATCATTATCATGAGGAAAAGTCATTGAAAAGGATGTGGTAAGATACCACGAACGAGATCGGCCATGCAGGTTCTGGTAATTGTTGCGATAGTAGCATATGTCTGATCCAGCTCTCACCCAGCCTGGCCGTCCTTCCTTTGCCTCAATTACAGAGTACATGATAGGTTTCATTCCTAATAAGAACACAAAAAGACGCATGAAAAGCCACACAGAAGAGTAAACAGAACATTTTTACTATCTACACAATGTGAAAGTGGTAAAATTGTTTCACAGTTATTTTATATGGTATGCTAGATTATCATAGGTAACAGCACAAGTGCTTTGAAACCTGATTCGCAAAGCAAGGAGGAGATTTATCTGAGAATTTCCTAAGCACAACTGGTATTTAATAGGACTATTCCATGAATGAAATTACGTCCAACAGAGTTCCAAAATATGCCAAATATTGAAAATAACTGAAAGGATAAATCTAAGAGGTGATGTTATAGTATATACACAGTTTATTTCACATCAACACAGTAATTGATATATACCGCCTTCTAAAATAGAGGAGTTGCAGCTTATTATTGGCCAGTAGGGAGGGGCGGTATGAAAAATCAGATAGAAAAGGCAATACATTTTTTGAGATACACTGCTCTGACTGCAGCAAAATACAAGTATATTTAAATACTACATCTTAATTTCATAAGTGGAATGGTCATAATTCCCTAGAAACACATGCCTAGCACAATTGCACTGGAGAAAAAAAACTTAAATTTTTCATTATAAATGTTTCACATTGAACATTTTAAAAAAGAAGCCTACATGCCTATTGCTTTTTGCTTTAATACACAGTTTGCAACCAAAAGAATATGCGATTGCACAATTAAAAAAGTTGTAAATCACATTTCACACAAACTCACCGTAATTAAATTGACTGTTCTGCTTTTCACAGTTTACAATATTGAAAGTGTAGGTTACATTAGCCTCCATATTACTAACTTCAAAATAAAACCACTGATGGTGCTTTACTGAATTCACATCTGGCAAAAGAATCAATTCATATTCATGGAGACCAATCTACAAAACAGAAAAATAAAATCTATAATACAAAACTAGAGATTAAAAATCTTTTGGAAATGCCCACAAACCCAACACATACCTGCACAACTTTTCTTAAATTACCACTTTCGAATCGAGATTCAAAAAGAAGATGATGTTTTAGGAGGTCTCTGTGTCCCACACGTCTTTCATCAATATTATATAAATGTCTGCAAAATAACAAATGTAATTTTTTTATCAATTTTGTCTTTTAATTGTTGTTCAAAAAATATCTTCAATTTGGAGAACATTCACCAAAAACATACTTTTCTCCTGAGTCATTTCCTTTTGCTATTGCATCTTGTTGAATAAGTCCATCCAAATCATAAACAACTCTGTCTAACAAAAGATGAGGATGAACAGCACGTTCCACAGACGTCATAAGCTTAGCCCTCAAAGAAAAAATTAATTATTAGTTCTGTGTCAATAAAAGTAACACAAAAATTAAAAGCACAACATTAGAATAAAGTTTGTGAAAAAAAAATCATTAAAGCTTCTCATAACTACACAATGGCAAACGTTAAATGTATTTGATCTGTTTCAACACTTTCTAGATTTTTGTACAGTGAAATGAATAGATTAACAAAAAGTTCTGAGAACAATAATTACTCAATGCCACACTCACCTGCATACTTTCCTGTCTTTAATATGTAAAGGATAAAGCTGACCAGAGCCATCACCTCCAACCATATCTGGATAAGCCACTTTAACAACAGGGTAAACAGTATTCACTTTTGAAGCAATTGCACAATATGCATAATGTACACTAGAATGTTTTGGTATGTCTGATAAGATAGTCAGTCCCATCATGTGTAAGCTATTCTGAAGATTACTGTAAAAAAAGAATATGATAATTCAAGATAATAATTAAAATAAATTGCTTTGCTTTGTAAAATGTATACAGTTTTTCACAAAAAACAAAGCCATATTATAAATTTGTTAAAACAGAACAACCCTTCTTTCTCTTTAAAAGTATTTTGAAGTTTAATCTCTTAAAATTCAAGCACTCCATATTTTAGTTTTGGTAAAATAGTTGGGACTTTTTTCCATCTTCAAAAAAAGTATTAAATACTTAGTCAATAACAACTCTTGGGCTATAGGTAAATATTTCCACCTATACTAAGCAGTTGAATTTAAAGAATCAGATTCTTGAATCATTATCTCACAAGTTCATCTAAGTTTTGAAGAATGTTCCAAATTGTTGAGCTTCCCCGGAGTTTGTGCAGTTTCAGAATGTCATATAAAAACTCAAAAATGCATGGGGAAAATAGCTAGGCTTGTAATTTTACCTATTCATGGCTGGATCTGAACTGGCTTTCCATGTCATCTCTCTTTTATAAACGTCATAACAGGAGCAACTAGAGTGGCTTCTTACAGTACGCATATAATTATTTAATCTCCTTTCAACTTCTTTCTGCCAAAATGAATTTTCATCATTACTGGGTTCTTGGTGTTGGAGGTGACAGGATCCTAAATAAGAATCACTTCTTAAGCCATCACGGTCATTTATTAACCAATAATCTCTGTGTTCACCAAGAGAGTCACATCCATGGGTACCAAACTCTTGGTAAGACTTAGCCCGAGGAATGCACTTCTCTTCAAATGTTCTTGCTTCTTGGTTGCTTGTGACTACATTTTCTTGAAAAAAAGCAGCATATCTGGAAAACATTTCAATAAAGCAATAGAACATAAACATAATACTAAATTACTTTTAAAAGATATATTTCCCTCCTCAAAAGTTTATAAAGTGTTGTCAAAAGTCAAAAATTACGTGATTTATTATGAAATATATTTGCAATAATTCAATGTGTAATACGCATTCATACAATTACATCTCTTTTTCATACATGTTATCAGAAAATATGACCATTTAATATTATTTCGTTGTGTATGTTAGTGAACAATGTGTATAGGCTACATATGAAGTATTATACATCAAAACTAAACAAGGAAAAATTGGCCAGAGCTGCAAAAACAAACATACATTTGAAAATTAACAACGTATTACATCACCTAAATTTTATTGAAGAAATAAAATACTTAAGGTGAAAAAAAAGGTGTGATTATTTTGTTAAAGGAAATCAAAATATTTTTATGAGAGCATTTCAGAAAATACTTTAATTTTCAGCAATCTTTAAGAAGTCAGTTATGTTATATCTTCAACCCCGAAGAGAAAAGACGTAAAAAACGATACTTCTGTGTCCCATTTCAAAATAGATTTGTGACACGCATCTTGAGCATATTTGAGACAGCTGAGTTTTTAAGAACCTTTCAAATAGTTTGTTCCCTGGAGTAATTTTTCAGTTACAGAATGTCAATTATAACAATTAAAAAATACTAAAAACTATATTTCTAAATCAATAATTACAACAATAAAAAAATAAAAATAACACTTCAATAAGATGAAAGTACTTGAAAACAATCAATAATTCAATAATTACAACAATAAAAAATAAAAATAACACTTCAATAAGATGAAAGTACTTGAAAAGAAATTTTGGGGGAAGAACTGGATATCAACAAGTGGAAAGGAGATATGGGTAACAAGAATAATCTCGAGTAACTAACTACAAGTACACACTACACACTTACTACAAAAGATAAATCAAGGTTTGACAAATTGAATTTCCAACTACTCACTGGCACAAGTCATCCATATCCCTTAAAATTGGAGGTGGTATTGCATAGGGTCCATGCCCAGCATCTGACTCTTGCGTTTTATCTGACGCATCATCATCATCATCATCATTATTATCAAATGATTCAGCTACACTTCCATCAGCTGATGGAGTGGTCTCCCTTGAAGAAGATGTCCTCATTCCTGAACCTAAAAGAAAGGTATTGAAGTAATGATGCCAGATAAAATTCTTCAAAAAGGTTTAATAATGATGTGAATGATGTACCTGTTGTATTGTCACTTGTGTCACTATTTTCAGTCTTCAAAACTGGAAGACTAAACAGCACAGGTCCTGTAGTATCTATTGGCAAAACTTTCTTATCCATACATGTTCCAATAATTGAAGCAACTCTTGGCAAAAGAGAGTCATATGTTCTGTCATTAGGACACAACACACAGAATTTGTATAAAAGATTTAAGCCATTGCTACTTTTTATGGCTTTCCGTCCAATTTCTAAAAAATAGATTAAAAGTATGTTACAATAATGATTCAAAAAATATAAGTGCAAAATACTACTATTTCAGAACAAAGTTAAATACTAACTGGTATTAGAGAGATGTTTCAATGTTATTATTGTGTATGTAAGTATCCTCAATCTCATCTTGCCATTATAACGTTCCCAACGTTCAAAAATCCTCAGCAATAGTGGAACAAAATCCTCTTTGGCCATTTTTGTACAGCACAGCTCTATAAAATATATCAATTTAATATATTTCACATAAATAAGTACAGAAAAGAAAAAATTAATATAATTTGGCAATTTGTAAAGAAACATACTACTTCGAGTGAGGGAATGCATTACGTTCAGTGACAGTCGCAATTTTGGACTGGGGGAATATCCAATACTAACTATAACTTTTTCCATTGTAGAAACTATGCCATCCTTTACCAAAACAGTAGAAGTGGTAACTGTAATAAAATAAATATATGCATATACTTCAAGATATCTAAACATATCATTTGTGTATTTGTAATACTAAATTAGATACTTACCATTTCTTGACAGGGATTTGAACACTATCAATAGAGGATATAACAGTTTAGGGTTGTTATAATGAAGTCGTAATATGTTATGGAATGTTCGTGCACTACCCGTCAATCTTACTTTCACAGAAAATTTTGAATCTGAAACAGTAATGAGAAATCAGCTCAGTAAAAATTAGACAAGTGTGTTAGCATTCTTTAATTACAGTTCAATTGTTCATGGTAAGGTAATCAACTGATTCTTTTACCTTTTTGTGAGAGCTGAGCAATTATCCACACTAGTTCATACAGTAACATGTCAGAGATTTGACTCTCTTTTCCGCTCAATTGCATGAGCAATTTAATAATCAACTGAGTGGCATTTAAGGATGTCAGTTGACTAAGAGCAGGACTTCGATACTTGACTACAATAAAAGAAAGTTATTTTAATTGATTTATATCTTTTTCTTAACAAGAAACTATGAACAAATCTACTGCAATTCATACAAGTTACTCGTTTATATATAATGCTTTAAAAGTTTTAATTTCATAATTCAACAACTGCAAATAGAAATGAAAAAATATATTTTCTAGCATTAAAAATAAATTTCCAAGCCTACGAAAGGGAACACTAGAAGCAATGAAATTAGCATTATAGCCAGAAATGCTCATAATAAGTTAATCTATTTAAATGCACCTCACAATCAACTGATTTTACATATAACATGACTACATATTTCAACGACTTTCACTTGAAAAATAGTTTTAAGAAAATGTTATTATTAATATATCAAAAGTAAATTGATTGACCACTTTTATACAAGTACCAAATTCAATATACTTCATTTTTGCACACAAGGTAAACAGAGTTTAAGCAGTACATAATGAGAGAAAAAATACTATCAATGCCACTACTTTTTCTCCACCTATTGCACTGATGGCAAAATCTAACATACTGGTATTCCAACAAGACCCTCGGCAAGAAAATTAAGTGAAATTTTGAAGATTACATCACAACAAATAGGAAGTTAATATTTTGAAAAAGAATGCTGAAGCCATTTCAATAACAGAACTCTGTGGCTTAAAACAGCCCAGTTAAAACATTCCATTCTTAGATATTTGCCAAAAAATGAACGAGAATCTGAAAATCCTGAAATATCATACAAAGTGGGCCTATGACTCATTCTGAAGATTAAGGATGAGAATAACTGCCATGCTCAAACTAGGATTCAGTGTACTTCAGTTATTAGTCAGCCAGAAAGGCTAAGCCATAATAGCACCCTTAGATGAAAAAAAAAAGTTTACTTCATTTTCTCATATAAATCAAATCTTGTCTACTCTAATACATATTCCTCACATTCATGTGCATAAGTGGATGAAAAAAATACTTTCAGGTGCAAAGGTGCTGTGGCATACTTTATGAACATGTTTATACACCTGCATGATTCTGAGCTTTCTTTTTTCCAGAAGTACCTGCTCTAGGGGATACACACTCATGCAGGATACCCGCCAGACTACAGCATGTCACTTGGTCTCGGACACTCTGGAATTAAGGGCAGAAATGAGAAAATAGACAACTTTCCACTACAGAAGTAGAAAAGAGAGAAAGACAGAAATCTTCATTTAGCATATTGTAAAATGTCATATTCTAGCAATAGTTCGAATTAAACAATCACTGTTAGTAATTATGCTACTCAAAAACTAAAAACATGAAGTGACCCAACAATATAAATGATGTGTTCAAATGTATTACAGCAAAATACTAAAACATGAACATGCATTATATTTACTACATTCTAGTTTTGGCAAACAAAATACATTAACTAAAAAAAATACAATTTGAGAATTGAACAACAAAAATACTGCTTTTCTGCGGAAAATGAAATTATTTCAATGAAGTTATCATTCAATGACAGATTACTTTCATGCAAAGGAGTCAGTAACCACATTTTGCTAATCCAGAGTTGGTTGCAAATTATGAGACAAATAAGAATACTAGTAAAAATTTAAAAGTATTTTCTAACTATTGAATTATAATTAACAGTAAAGAGACTTGACAATATTAATATAGGAAAGTGAATGAATTTAAATTAAATAACAGAAGAAAGGAGGACCCTATCTATAAGCAATGGTAATCAAATGCATTATTCAAATACTATTAATGAAACCCATTTAATATATCTAAAAAAATATCTTACAGTTACATATAAGTAAGAGATCAATTAAACAATATATTTATTCAAATATCTTTCTTTCGTATGCTCGAGGAAAAATAAAATGAGTATATGTAATGTATCCAGAAACAAAATCATATTGTATAGTCTTTGTTAAAATTCTAATGTTAATATTAAAACTGAATATTTTTATTTGTCAATACCGGCAAATGCCTAATTACCAAACTTTTTTACTATTAAAACTACAAACATAAAATTAATAAAGTTGACACTCATTACAAGAAATACATAAAGTAACAATAGAACTAAAAACATTAGATTAGTCACAAGAAAATGTATAAGTATAACATATTACATAAAAGTAATAAACGTTTTCAAATTTCAAATTCAGTGCAGAAAAAGACCAAAATTGTGAACATTTACTCACTTTACATAAATTAATCATATGATGATTAAATTTAAAAATAATAAATCAAAGTTAAATACAATAGATATTTCAATATACAAATTCAGAAGTATCCTATCATTTAAAATTTATTAAATATAAATTTGTAGCACCTTTAATAAATTGAGTGAGTTACAAATTATACCCCACAACATTCCACACAAATACAAAATGCATTTAAACACCTCAAGAGTCCATTAACAAACATTCCTCTCAATAATACCTTCAGACCTAAATTTGATTCAGCAAAAAGAAAAGAAAAAAAAAATAGTTTCATCAGGTAATCTAATATTACACATTTGAATTTTACATGGAGTTTCCGAAACAAGGTATTTGCAATTGATTTTATTAGTTAGGAATTAATGAACAAATTGATATATTCTAAGGTAATTCTTTCTATTCATTCTTTATCCTAAGGTATCCTAAGGAACTAATATTGGCTTGCTATGCCAACAGAATCGAGGGAAAAGCTACATGAAAGTAAATTAAGTTTCCTGGCAACTTAAAAAAAAAAAACTTATGCTGAACTGCCCCAACTTATTTTTATAAGTATCATAAAATGGTGACCAAATATCGGAAGTATATAGGTCTAACTAGTGAAGAGTTCTCAAGAAAACACAGCCTGTAAATCCATTAGATATTATTTTAATAAAACCTATTCTCTTCACCCTATTTGCTAAACTATATTCACACTATTACTATATACTTATTAAATTTTAGGGATTGGTCATTACACCAACATCATTAATTTCTCCACAATTTAAGAATTCGATCTGGAAGAATAATATGTTGGTACCATTCCAAAATAGATTCAAATCTAGACAATACTGATGTACTTACAGTCTTTTATTGATATAATTTCAAGAAAAATTTAAATTGTCAGTAAGTAATAAAAACAGAATTTTTCAAATATAGTTTCATATTATAAATGTATTATAAAAACAATAATTGTCCAAGATGTGATCCCTGGAACACCAGAGGTTACCGCAATATCTTTTGAATAGAAGGACTTATATCTAACATTCTGAGTTCTACCTGTTTATTTCCAATCCATTGCTGTAAAACTACGTGAACACTCAAACACTAATTTTTGCATATGAATTATCAGGTTTACATAATAATAATCAGAATAGATTATTATGCAAATATATTTATAGAAAATTCATCTTTTAAATAATTTATTACTTTGAATGAGTTGGGAACATAGTTGAAGATAAAATGTATTCCGTTGGACTATAAATCTGTTCTTAATTTATGTTGAAAAATTCTTAATAAAAATGTGGTATGTATTACTGCAGTTCGTGGCAGATACAGCACATAGATTGCTGAATAATCAGTAGTGATTATTATCATCATCACTTAAAATCATTATTCAATTTACTATTCCAATTGCAAATTTTTGCCTCGTTACTGATCCTCACTTAAGAAAATAATCTACTTTCACTTAGTGCTGATTTTAGTTTTCTTAAAAAGCACGTTTTCTCATAGTGGTAACAAATTCAATCAGACACAAAATTACCAAAGATATATTGCTGATATATGAATTTAAAATTTGAAATTTTGGATTGATATTCATGAATATTTAAATTTCGAAAAAAATTTGAACGTGGTAGAGAGAAAAATTTATAATGCTGCGCGAAAAAACGGGGAATTTTCGATGGAAATACTCTTATTAAGGGCACTGGCAACGAAGAAGTGGATAAATCCAGTCGCTAAATTTTGGGGGAATCGTCTACACACGTGATGTCACCAGAATCTACGGTTTGTGGGTCCTTGATACCGAAAAATTAATTGGCGGCAAAACGTCTGTCAACAACGCTAGCTTCTAAACCGTCCGGCCGATTTTCTTCAGAATTGATATTCTCCAATCGATTTTAAAAGAATGGCGCAAGACTCATGGTCGTTGGAAATCTAATTTTTCAAAGATTTCAAAAGTTCAAATTGTTTTCGGCGTCTTCCTACAACTACAATTATGAAAATACACATTTTTCTTAATGAATTGTGTTCATGAAAAATAGTGCTAAAAATAATGTCATTTTCAATTTTTAATGAACATGAGAATTTGTTTCCGAAATTTTGTGTCGAACATGGGCCATTTTTATTTTCTTTAAACTGTTTTTTTTTCTTCTTAAATTTAGACTAGCGTTTGCCAACTGGCGGAGAAATGACGTCGGATCTTCGTTTCCTTTCTCGAGCGCCGTCTCGGAGAAGCGGTGCGAACAAAGCGGAAGGGAGGGGCAGACGGCGGTCGCCGTTTACGAAAACCAGTGGGCTTTTGCCGAAGTTGCACGGAACATGAGATCATGAAATGAGAAAAAGATTTTCCAAATAGAAGATTATGGGAAAGGAATTGAAAATCACGAGGATTTACAACAATCTCAAACGATATTGACTGTACAAATAATCACGCCTGGAGTCCAAATTCTCCCACGTGACTCTCCCGGGTGTCTATTTGTACCTATTTGTTAACATTAACTACACAGGTACACAAAATAAAAAAGTTTTCAGACCCAAAGACTTAACACATGTTTCTCTACGTATATTGACGAACTTAATCCTATTCTGAAGCCAGAATTGCGCCACCCTCCACTTTTTCAAATCGCGAAAAAACACCGTACAATTTTAAATTTCATTGTTTTTTCGCCATTAAAAAACAACGGGAAGGTGGTATGGCAATTCTGGCTACGGACTCAACGCTTTCACATACATAAGGAAATGTGTGTTGTCTTTGGGGTATTTTTTATTTATTAAAAAAGAAAGAAAAAGGAAAGAAAGAAAAAAGAAAGAAAAAAGAAAGAAAGAAAAAAAGAAAGAAAAGAAAGAAAGAAAGAAAAGAAAGAAAGAAGGAAAGAAAGAAAGAAGGAAAGAAAGAAAGAAAGAAAGAAAGAAGGAAAGAAAGAAAAGAAAAAAGAAAGAAAGAAAAGAAAAAAGAAAGAAAGAAAAGAAAAAAGAAAGAAAGAAAAGAAAAAAAAGAAAGAAAAAAGAAAGAAAGAAGAAAGAAAGAAAAAAGAAAGAAAGAAAAAAGAAAGAAAAAAGAAAGAAAGAAAAACGAAAGAAAGAAAAACGAAAGAAAAAAGAAAAAAAGAAAGAAAAAAGAAAGAAATATTGAAATACAACAATGACCCGGCAACCATTACTCGTGAGCTAATTTTTGTGAATTACGTCTTACTGTTGGTAAAACTTGATTTACCTGTATGAAAGCAGTTACATTTGTTGATAATTGTGGGAAATATATTTGTCGTTTGCCAAAATGTACGATTAGTAAGGAGTTTTACAAAAAATTATGACTGAGCGCTTGTGTCTATTCAATGCAGAAATTGTGGTACCAATGAGTATAACCTCTTCTTTCAAACAAGCCGCATAATGAATTAGCTTATTAACGCCCGCTCGATCGTTGATATTTTACGCAGCAACGAGTGACGTTTCTCGAGCGAGAGTCGTAATTTCTTGAGGTAAATATGGCATTACATGCGAGTAGAAGACTATACTTTCTCTAAGACTTGAATTTCAGAATAGATTTTGAACAGATTTGTTGTTATTTATGGTAAACACACGCTTAGCTCGAGGAGGAGAATGAGGTTCGGCAGAATCGCGATTGACATTTTTTGGTTAGTAATTTGACATAGGAAACATCCAGTTAAGCAGGACAAAATATACACAGGGCTGCGATAAATAAATGTTTGAAAAGAAAATCTGAAAAAATGTGTTTTACGAATGTCATAAGAAACATTCTAGGGGAACACTGAGAATAGCCCCACCTTATCATTTCGAAATTAAATTTCAAAAAATTATTAATTTTTTCTATTTGAATTTGTCGTTTGGCGTTGCGTTGAATTTTTTCTATTTGAAATTGGTTGACAAATACTATCTAATTCAACAATTTTGCTCTCTCTGCATTTTTTTTAGACTGGTACATCAAATAGC